ACACACACACACACACACACACACACACACACACACACAGAGCAGCTCACATCAGAGCACACATAACTGAACATTCAAAGAGGAAAAACATCTGGGAAGCAAATCTGAAGATTGTTTATGTATAGTTTGGATTTTAAAATGTTTAATGTTTTGAAAGAAGTCTCTTCTGCTCACCAAGGCTGCATTTATTTGATCAAAAATACAGTAAAAATTGTGAAATATTTTTTCAATGTCAAATAACTGCTTTTCATGTGAATCAATGTTAAAATGTAATTTATTCCTGTGATTTTCAGCATCATTACTCCAGTCCTCAGTGTCACATGATCCTTCAGAAATCATTTGCTGCTCAAAAAACATTTCTGATTACCGTATTATCAATGTTGAAAACAGTTGTGCTGCTTCATGCTTTGTGGAAACTGTAATGCACTACCATTCAAAAGTAAACAAAAAACAAAAACCGAGAAATTAATACTTTTATTAATCAAGGATGCATTACATTGATCTAAAGTGCCAGTAAAGCCATTTCTAATGTTACAAAAGATTTGTATTTCAAATAAATGCTGTTCTTTTGAACTTTCTGTTCATCTGTGAATCCTGAAGAATAAAACATATCATGGTTTCAACAAAAAATATTGGGCAGCACGACTGTTTTCAACATTGGTAATAATCAGAAATGTTTCTTGAGCAGCAAATCAGCATATTAGAATGATTTCTGAAGATCACGTGACACTGAAGACTGGCGTAATGATGCTGAAAATCACAGGAATAAATGACATTTTAACAGATATTCACATGGAAAGCAGTTATTTTAAATTGCAAAAATATTTCACAATTTTTACTGTATTTTGGATCAACACAGCCTTGGTGAGAAGAAAAGACTTCTTTCAAAACATTACAAATCTTAATTATTCCAAATCTTTCCATATTTTTGTGGATATAATAAAGATGTGGAACATTTTCTGGAGGAGCAATAAAATTATTTGTAGATCTGGAATATTTGCATCTCTCTTTATGTCTGCTGAATGAATACACGCAATGAAATCAACTTTCAAAAGAGTATTCGGAGCAGTACAAAACAGAACTCTCCGGCCGGAATCTCTTCCAGAGGAGATCCTGAACTCTGTGAAAGCAGCAGCAGATGATTTACTGCTCCAAATAAAGCGGCATGAGTCATTCATTTCATCTTCAGCACAATAAAACGCTAACATCTTTGTCCTTCAACGTCAGCTCAGCAGAAGCATCTCCACAGGAGCCAATGTCAATGCTTCTTTTTAATTCTATCCTTTCTGTTATTATTGCCATTAAATGAACATTAATCAGCATTCAATATCATGTATTACGAAAGTAAAGAAGCTAAAGAGCCTCTTCTGGAGAACACAAATAACCAACCCAAAATGAAGTGGTTGTATTTCTTGAACAATTATATTTATACATTGAATGTAGTAGTATATTTGAGCACATGCATTCATAGATGATGATTTATGTGTCACTGGCACACTTCAGTTTGTGTTTGGCTGCCGGCTGGGCGTGTGTGTGTGTGTGTGTGTGTGTGTGTGTGTGCGCGTGCTACATACTTGCGGCTCTCTGGTTGCCAGTGTTTTGGCAGAGACCCAAGAGACGCTGCAAACCGAAGCCCTGACGGGACGCCTGTATGTGCTGATGCTATTTGTGTTAAAAACACCACACATGTCACTTCCTGTGCTGCTGTACTGTATACTGTTCAAAAGTTTGCGGTTGTCAGTTTTATAAATGTTTTTGAGACTTTTACGCTCAAGGCTGCATTTATTGGATCAAAAATACAATAATAATGCAATATATAATTTCATTTAAAAAAAGCCATTTTCTTAAAATGTAATTTATTGCTGTGATGCGCAGCTGTATTTTCAGCATCATTACTCCAGTCTTCAGTGTCACATGATCTTCAGAAATCAGTATAATATGCTGATTATCAATGTTAAAAAATAGCATGTTTTATAAGCACAGAAAGTTAGACGTATAAATAGCAAATAGCATCAGCAAACACCTGCTTCACACCCATTACATTTTTTGATGTAAAACTTTAACCCTTCACTCACCGTCGTGCCTCCATGAGCTTCTGGGAACGCTGGAGGGTCCGTGTGTGGAAACTTCCAGAAGCAATCCCAGAAACACGCCTAACACGCTCAGAGCCATGTTAGACTCGGGGATCTTCGGCAGCGTGATGTTTCCTCTGTGAGAGCGACAGACAGACAGAAAGAGAAGAGAACATGATCAAACTGACACGTGTCATCGTTTAGTCATCCGACAGGTTTTATTAACTGTGGCATCACAGTTCACCAGAATGAATATACATATCATATTCATACTGCTCACTTCCATACAATAGACGTGAATGATGATACCTAGGTGCTCTATAATTACCATATTCATATTCATTTTTATTACAAATCTTCATTATTGATCCAAAGATGACAGAATTTGGGCTGCGATATGATTATCAAATCACAAAGGCTGTGATCTCATTAAATAAATAGAAGTCTGAGTGAAGTCTGTCACTGTGTTCATTTATTTACATTTATTTGATTGATGGAAAACCGCCAAAATAAATAACCGTCATACTGCTTAACGTATGAAAACAAAATAAACAAATTATTAGTATTGTAATTTGTATATAAATTCATATCAAATAAAAATGATATACAATTAATATAAATATTAGTATTGTAATTTTACAGCTGTACTTTAAAATAAAATTATATATATATATATGTAAAATCTTTATTTTGCTTTTCAAAACAGGGAACCATTGATTATAATGGACGATATGTTTTAATATTACATATATCAGAAATTAATCCTCAATCTGCCATCTTTAAAAATACTGAAGGTACAAAAAGAACCTAATTTAAATTTAAAATTGAAACAATTATAATAAGGATCAGATAATCAGATAGTATCACTGACAGACACTGATTTACAATTTAATAAATAAATAAATAATATTTATTAAACTTGTTTTGTTTAATGTTTTATTTTATAATAAAATAAATAATAAAAAATATATTATTAAATTATATTTCCTATTTTGTTTACTATTTTATTTAATAATAATCACAGTAAAAATCATACTTATTATTTTATAGTCATATTAAATGGGTCAAAAATGGCGAGAATGCCAATTCTGAAGATTTTTTAAAAAACTTTGTTCACTTTATAGTTACTGAAATTTAGATTTAATTTGGTTTTTCTCAATTGTTCAGCCCTAAAACAATGGTTCACACTCAAACAAAGTCTTTAGAGTCAAAAGATGTTTCATCTTTTCATAAATTATTTGTATTTTCTATTTACATTTAAGTCATCTGGTGAAAGTTCCTGTTTTTTTCCACATATATATATATATTGCAGAAAAACTCAATATTATAATGTAAGTTTATTCAATGTAAGTTTAATATCATGCCTCTTTGGGTAAACTGTAGTATTTGTATTCATTCACAGTAAATACGCTTTGCTGAGAGTAAAGAGCAGTTAAGCAGAGTTTGCGTAACGTTCATATCGAATGACCGCAGCTTCAGGCCAAACAGCCTCTGTTGGAAGGAGAGAGAGAAATGCAATGACCAGCAACCAAAATTAGCATCAGTGAGTGAGATAAAGCCCAAACATCCCTCTATCAGCAGCGGCATGTGATTACTGTCCCGTGTGCTAAAAAAACAACACGTCCTGCACACTTCAACTCAGATCCAGGTGCTCAAAAAACAGAAACCACATTCTGACGTCACTGCCTGACGATGACTGGTAACTGGTTTCGGACCGGTCGGTTTTGCTGGAATTCCCCTGAACTGATATCTGTGCCCACAGGGAAGCGAAACCATGTTGACGTGTAATATGACAGCACACCCCGGGGACAGAAAAATGACACCCGAGATAATGTTTTCCATGACAACCCAGATTTAGAGTCTCCAGATTTTCCACGCCGATCTGTCACTTTAGACTCACGGCCTGTATCTGCTTACAGAGACGCGTGAAACTAGATTTTTGCATTTTTTAAAACAACGTGTGTGTGGCGTTTGCCTGTGCAAAAGTTCCCTCCATTTTGCACGAGTGTTGTCGGTGGTTGCCAGGGTGTTGCTATGCAGTTGCTAGGGTGTTGCTAGGAGGTTGCTGATGAGTTGCAGACCAAAGTTCAAGACTTTAATATTAGACTGCTAAACTCTCTACCTGAGGGTGAACAATAGTAATAGTGATGGTCGACTACGTGTCATTTTAATCCAAAATCAATCAATAAGGAATTGCTGGTTGACACAAGCAGCTTTGAAACACAATTAAAGCTTACTTGACTTTGTGGATCTTGAATTTTAAATATATATATATATATATATATATATATATATACATACATACACACACATCACACCACTGTATATATATAATATATATATATAAAATATATTAAATTTTTTTTCAATATATATGTGTATTTTAAACTCGTTTTACATGACTTTCTGAATATTGAACTGAATATTTAAAAAAATATATAATTTATTTTTTAATATTTAAAAAATATATATATTTTTATTTTTTTTCTATTATTTTTTATGCATTTTATTTTAACTTGATTGTTTTTAAATATATTTTACTTGACTTTGCAAAACTTGAACTTTACACATTTAAAAATATATTTTTTATTATTTTTTAACATTTATTTTATATATTTATTTTTATGTATTTTATTTAAATTCTATTATTTTTATCTAAAACATTTGCTATTTTAAACACATTTTCCTTATCTTGAACTTTACACATTTAAAAAATATTTATTTATTTATTTTTTATTTATTTATTTTGAACATTTTGTATTATTTTTTATTTAACATACTTGTTAATTTTCAAATATTTTACACATATAAACATATACAGTATATAAAAATTAAACCACAAAAGTCAGGAGAACACTTCTCTCTGATCTTCAAGCTGTTGTATTAGTACTGGTAGCTGATATGTTCATATGCTCGGCAGGTGTTCAGCAAAAGCTTTTTCAAATTCCTACAAATGATTTCCATACGTGCTGCACTTTATTGTTCAGTGGAGCAAAAACGCGGAAAGATTCGAAGACAGAAAAGAAAACAAACGGAGTGAAGAGAGCGGAATGTAATAATAAGACACCGGAAACTCAACGGAACATCTTTTCAACATGTGACCATCACAGAAAACACTAAACGGCCCCAAGCAAAGACAGACTACAAACTTCGATTCGCAGCTTATATCGGCTCCTCAGATACATCTGCTTCATTTCTTTCGTTCTGATCGGAGAGAGAAAAACTTCTTACCAAATCCTTAGAACATAGATTTAACAAGAAACAAAAAAATACACACAGGGCTTTTAAAAGGGGAACATCAACAGACTGTTCTTCTGACTAAACTAAACTAAAAATATATATTAAAAAAAATACAGAAACCACTGTTCAATAACCTATATAACTTATGAAATCACTGCCTGACGATGACTGTAAGCTGGTTTAATAATAAAATAAAATATATTTAAATATAATTGTTGAATAACATCCAACTCAATGTTTACAGGCTCTGCCTTCATTGTTTGTTTCTAACCATATATGTATATCGTATGCAGCAGTAGCAATATTGACTGTGCAATATTATTCTTTTTTTATTACAGTCCTAAAATAATCATATAATATTTATACATTTCCATTCAAAATACCAATGAAGTTCTGCAGAAAAAGTATTTAATTTCAACTGATTTGATCTTAATTTGATTGTTGTAGTGAATCAACACTGACAACATGACATTGTCACATGTCCTGTTCTTGGTGCCAGAAACCTTGACTAACATTATAAGCTCACTTTAAGGGAAAAACTCAACAAAAGTACTGAATATGACCACGTTAGCTGTTGTGTACGCATTGTGGCTGTAGACATCAGAAAAAAAAATGTTTGGACAGAACCTCCAGGACAGCAACACCAGTGAATGATGCACTGGAAATCAAGAGCGTAAAATAACAATCATTGATCAACAGGCAGATGAGTTTTTACAGCCTCAGGGTGAAACACACACACACACGCACACACGCACGCACACAAACACACACACACTAATGACCCTTAATGTACAGAAATGTACTGTTGAAGCCAAAGTCCCCAACACGAGGGTCTGCTGAAGGAACTCACAAAGAGCCTGTTGTGTGTGTGAGGAGAGAATTACACACACACAGTAAACAATCAACAAAGACTGGGCCTGAGTGTGTGTGTGTGAGCGCATGACATGGCCTCTCACACACTGCACTTTCCCAGAAAGCTTCATTCACATGTCAGACCTGATTAACTGAACACTGAGTCGGTTCTACCGTGATACAAATCGATCAAAATGAGTGAGTGTGTATGGAAAAACATACTAATACTCTATCTGCAATACGAAGTATGTATACTGTAATAGTATGCAGATTTATATGCATGACATTTTCTAAAATCAGGAACATGAATGTGGTTGTGAATATAAAATGACGAAAAAACGTACTAAATAAAAAAATAGAAAATACACACACACACACACACACATATATATATATAATTTATCTCTCTCTTGCTCTCTCTCTCTATATATATATTAAAGACAAAATATTTAAAGATGTAAATACATAATTATTTTGAATATTTAAATATATAACACACACAACACATATATAAATATAAAATGATGAAAAAAACGTACTAAATAAAAAATATAAATTTCTACATTTATATTCTTATAATTTAACAATATAATTTTATATCACAAAATTTACACATTTATATGCATGTGTCTGTGTATATAAAATGTATATAATATTTTAAATATATACAATATAATCATAATTATCGTAATATAATCGTAATTACATATATAAACATTATATAATACAAATATATATGCACTGTTAAAATGTATAATCATGTATATAAATAAAATAAATACTGTTCGTATAATAATTAATAGAAATATAATATAATGCAAGTAATATAATATATAATATTAATATAAATAACAAGAAATGTTTTCATATAACTTAAATTGTTACACACATTGCTAATATAAATGTATACCATAATTATGTGTAATCGTGCGGCCTGTGATTTACAAAATTAAATGTTTTTTTTAATTTTTTTTGTATTGTGATGAAATAATGTCTAGTATGTAATACTGCACATTGACAGTACAGTATGTGTTGCATTCCACCA